GTGCGTGCGGGTGGGTGTGGTAAAATGAAGGAGACGTGGAGGTTGTCAAGAAAGGTTCTGTCGATCCGTCCGGTCAAGAACGAAAAAGACGAAGAGCTGTCGAGGGACAGAAACGTATGAAAGAGGGTGTAAGGGGAAGGGAAGGAGAGAGAGAGGAAGGGGGATGGGATGGGACGAGATACAGAAGGAGGAGGATGATGATGCTTGGGTGCTCTGGGAGTGGAAGAGGATGGGGAAAGGTAGAGGCCGACCTGGCAACAGAAGGCTGTATGGAGCACTAATACGGGTACTACTACCCGTACAGCGGCGTACCAGTACCAGCAGAGTACTCATACCGATACAGGGAGCAGCAGCATGTATTACTGGTAGTGAACGTGCCGTATCGGGGCAGGGTGCCGTCCTCGTTTGGTGGGCGGATGACCGCTACAAGTGGCTGACGTATACGTAGCCTCTACCTAACGTATCCGGCCTGTATTGCTCGTTGGGAGGAGCCTCGAGGTCTAGGTAGCTTTGCCCGGTGCCGTAGGTGCCGTCCGCCAAAACATACACACCACTGTATCATGTACGGGCTGTCTACTGCTAGCCTCTAGTCAACCTAGCTTCCCCGTACTGATACATGGCTAGCACCTGTGGCTTTCCCGCTAGTGGCCTACCCCCAACGGGCCCAGCCACGCAGCTCCAGCTCCATGTGCTCTGGCTTTCTTTCTCTCTGCACACCAGTGCATGTATAAATCCGTGATGCTATCCGTCATTCATCCTAGCAGTGCTGTTTCTAGCAGTGCTCAGCTACAGCTACTCGTACTAGACGTCTGCTACGGAATAGTGATAATGGCGGTCGGTCGGCTATCACTACAGTCTACTATGAGTAGGCTGTATCGTAGTACAGATCTGTACACGTACACGTATTATGTAGTATTAGACGTTAGAGCCTATCCCCTGTAATACTCCGTACGGAGCTGCAATACGGAGCAGTAATCTGTACGTAGGTCGCAGAGGTCACAGAAGGGCTAACCCCCCCCCCCTCCCCTTCCCTCCCTCTCCCTCCCTCCCCAAAACAAAAAGGTAGAAACATGGACGGCGGTAATTACGTCGTACAGTGGTAGTCGCCCCCACTCCTTCTGGCCCGAGCCCTCTGGCCCTCCGGAGTCGACACCGCACTAATACATCACCTCACCACTCCAGTGTGACCTGTCCACTATCCGCTGTTCACTCTCCCCCCTCCTTCCATCTCCCCGCCTCTTCCATCCGTGCCTCGAACCGAGTCGAAGCTCTGCTATGGACACTTGACTACAATACTCGACAGTGACCCGGAGTTCGTAGCTGTGCTTCTCCAGTCAGATTTTTTTTTTCTTGCGAGGCTTTACGAGTACGTGCTTCATTGACTTTGTCGTACTCGCAAGTGTAGATGGCCCACCAGAAGCACACCGTCTGCCACCCACGATTCTTCCCCCCCACCCACCCACACTCTCTGTTAGGTGTGTGGGCAGATGGCTAATCGAGGAAGACGACAAGTACCGGTACATCCCGTGGATCGGTGCTACTGCTGTTAGAGTCTAGCAGTGTCAACAGGCACAGCTAGGATGCGGTAGCAAAAGGAGCTGGCTGACAGCTTCGTTGGAGCAGAAATGTCTTGTTAGGTGAGCCGTACTATTTCGTACATGTAGCTCCTATGCCGTCCTACCTCAGCATCCAGCTGTGCACGTATATGTATTAATAGCAGCAACGCGGCCTGCGTACGACACGCCCACGCCCACGCACGCACACACACAAAAGCACATCACCATGTCTGTATCGCCCCGTCCCTCGACAACCTGCAAGGGTTTAGGGGATAGGTGTGTGAATGCTGGTTTCGAAATGTCTGCATCAGGGGACTTGTGAGCATTTTGTTGCTTCGGACGTCCAGTCAGCTACAGGGCCTTCATTGCGCGTCTGGCCAGAGAGGGGGGCAGGCAGAGAGAGATACGAGTTATCGTCGACATCGGCCGTCACAAACAGACTGTATTACACACGCACACGCACACGCACGCGCACGCGCACAAGTTTACGGATGCATGTACAAGATAGCCGGCCGGTGCCTCTCTGCTGGTAACGATGTGACACCTATAAACAATGAGCTATAACGAGGGTTCCCTCTCTGTACGGTGTAAAACCAGACAGCACGGAACAAGTATGGGGTCGCAACCAGACCGACTACGATGTATAACCACATGTAGTACTACGCAACTGCTAGTGATGCTCGTAGAGCTGTGGCGTACGGGCTATCATTACTCGGTGCGGCGTTGCGACTACATCCTACAGATGCTGATGCGGAATCCCCCTCCTCTTCCTGGAGAGTCTTCATACATGCTGATATATCATCAGAATCATGATGCACTCCTAGGGTAGATACTTGTACATGTTTCCCCATCAGGGACAATCAACAGGATCGAAAAAGTGAGCGGCTGAGAGGAGAAGGCACCACGGCACGGCTAGGGCCAAAGCCTGAGTTGTCGTGCCGTTGAAAGACCCCGAGGTCAAGGTTCACCGCCGCCTCTGTGAGGTCTCTCGCTCTCTCTCGTCTGTTGCCTGGTCTTTCTCTCTTTTTCCTCCCTTCCCTCTCTCACTCTCTCTCTCTCTCTCTCCCTAATCAGGGATTAGTTACCATATCCAGATGCCTCTCCCTTTCTTCCTTCATCCCTCCTCCAATGCAAAACAGAACAAGCAGAGGTGGGTTTAAATTACAAGGTTGCCTGGTAATATTCCCCTGCACCATACTGGACAAACATGGTAGGAAGCAGGGATGGCACCTAGCAAAGGTCGGGAGTGGGAGCCCCAGGCGCTGATCTACGGAGTAATATACTCGTACACGATTCTCGCAGCGTCAACGTCATAACTTCTGTCTGGAACAGTGTCTCGGGTCTTGTAATCGTGGTACGGAGTGCTGTGGCCTTGGTAGTGTTATGCACTCGTCCTCGTATTTCCCCTGAGCAAGCATCAGCCCCAGGGCGCCTTGGTCAAGCTCAAAGGATGGTATCACGATCATCAACACAGGAAGGGAAGATGAAGACCATGCTCTTACTGCTACGAGGATCAGTAGTACCGGGGTATTATTACCATGTTCAATATTACTCGTACTCGGTATTGGATCTCTTGAATAATAGACTAATAGTACTCGTGCTCCATCGAGCCAAGACTGGTCACCAGGGTGGATCCCACAGGGACGATGATACCGCAACATGGAAAGCCTCTCTCCTCGTGTTCAAGCTACTTGCAACTATTAGCTCCCTCCTCCAAACGGGGCTACTAGTTGAGTTCGAGATGCATCAGTTATGTAACCATTGCAAGCACGTCAGTTCCAGTACAGAGACCAGAGAGTGGATAATAATAGACTTCCAACTTTCCTCAGACCCGAGCGCAAGGTCGAGTCGAGAACATGTGGCCCCCAGCAAGGTTTCAGGAGCCTCGTCCGAAACTGCACCAGAGGGGGCGGGGGGTGGGAAGAGGAGAGAGAAGTGTAAGGAGATGCGGAAAGGCTAGAGGGGGGAGGGTTTCCGGGGCCCGGGAGCCAATCCCAGCAACTGCCAACAAAAGATAAAGAGCTTGGCGAGTTCTATGCGCCACACACGTGCCTTGAGCGAACGCCACATCTCTGGACGCCACATTTATGACACCATCCAGACACACGCCACTGAATGGGACAACTGTGGCTTGACCTTCCGCCCGAGTCCAAGGCTTAGCGTCAACTGTGGCACAACGCACAAAGGTACGTACCCATTGACGGTAAGATCAAAGCTCCTCCTACGACGCGCTTCCCGAGTACAAGGAAGAAAAAGAGAGCCAGCCAAAAAGAAAAAGAAGAAAAAAAAAGAGGCTGTCAAAGACAAAGAAACAAAGCCGGACTATCCCAACAACAGCAAAATTGGGAGGAAACAAATCGACAGAAACCCAAACACCTCACATATATGCCTCTCGATTCATCGCCAATGCTGCTCCGACGATTCTAAGCGACCCCTCTGACGAGCCCGTGTCGTCCAACCCCCCTGGGTGCCATACATGACAAGTATATATACTATACACATCAACCATACATCGAATCGTCCGAGGCCAGCAGCATCATGGATCACCGCTCCCCCCCCTTGGCCCGCTCTTCCCCCTTAGCAAGGAGGAGCCAGTCCGACCTTAGCAGCCCCGGCCAGAACCAACAACGCAGCTTCCTCTCGAGATTCCTGGACGAGCCCCGCAACAGCGAGTACTCGCACCGCGACGCCCTGGCCGCCGCGCGCGCCGAGCACGAGCGCGTCCGCGAGACGGCCGTCCGCGTCTATCATCTTTACGAACTTCAGGAGGAGCGCAATCGCATCGCCGAGGAGGAGAGGAAGGAGCGCGAGAGGCTCAGGGCCGAGGCCGAAATCGCCGCCGAGGAAAGGAGGCTGCAGGAGCTCAGGGCCAAGTCCATACCCAAGCCCGCCCCCTTACCTCCGCCTCCTGCGTCTCCCGCACCCGCTCCCACCAGCACTACACCTTCTACCACTCCTGCCCATGCTCCCTCGTTGAAACTCGAGACGAAAGCAGAAGCCCCTTCTCCCGCTGCTCCTTCCGTCGCTACTCCCCAACCCGCGTCGTCGCTCCTCGACAACAAGACACCTCAGCAGCAGCAGCAGCAGCAGCAGCAGCAGCAAAGCGAACCGTCCTCGGCACCACCAAAACAGCCCGAAGCTCCAAAGACACCATTTTCTCTGCTCAATGGCACGACTCCCGCTCCCGTACCGACACCGGCACCGGCACCGGCAGCCAAACCAGCAGCACCGGTACCGACCCCCGGTCCCCCGAAAGAGCAGCAGCCCATACGCAGTCGGACGGCCGAACGGTATCTCCAGATCCACCAGGAACTCAAGAAGCTCCGTAAGAACATCGTCACCGAGTCCAAGGTCCCCGGGTCCCCTATGAAGGGCAAGCTGGGCACATTCCGTCGGGAGATTCGCGTGGCGATAGGACAGCTGACGACTGGCAAGGGGGCTAATACGCAACCGGTAAGTGGTATACATTCTACAACAAGCCTCCGAGAAAGTGGGAAGAGGAAACGGTAAAGGAAGGAAGAAAGTCATACTGACAGATTCGGGGTGCGTGTCACAGATCAACAAAATCACCGACATTCTCCGCGAGGCAGTACAGAACAAGGTGGCCAGCCCGCCCATCGACCCCCGGCCATTCATGCTGGAAGAGCCGGCGAGCAAGGGCGGCGAGGCGGCCACGATGCCGGCCCTGTTTATCTATCTCCTCAACGTGTGCGCCAAAGGCATAGTCAACCAGTTCATCAACGAGGGCGGGGCGAACCCCAAGTCGACCGACCCCGTGGGCGTCTTCGCGGCGCACATCTTCTCGCACAAGGAGTTCCAGTGGCGCGGCGCGCCGCTCGTCGACATCCTCATGGCCAAGATGCGCGTCTCGTGCCCCGTGCTGTTCGGCGTGCGGGCCGACGACAAGACCCACCGCGGCCGCGCAGCCCTGGGCTGGAAGAAGGACGGGCCGGCCTGGGTGTCGGAGCAGAGCCACAACGACCGCATGACGGGCCTGGGCGCTGGGTTCGCCTCCCTCTCCCTCCGCGACTTCAGCAAGTCGTCCAAGTCGAACCCCTACCCGCCCACTCACTACTGGATGGCCCTAGCCGCCATCGTCAACACCCCCGCAGGCCAGGCATCGAATACCCAGTGCGCCGTGCTGCGCGCCATGATCGACGGCCACCACCAGCGCTTCCTCAACTTCTACGGAAACGCCGCCCTGGCCGCCCTGCGCCTCGCTCTCGTCGACTTCCCCAACAAGGCGCCTGAGAGTTCCCCTGCTGCCGGCTCCTTGCGTGCGCTGACAGAGGTGCTGCGTGGTGAGGGGCTCTTGTTATCATAGTAACTCTCTCGTCTGTAACTACTACCGACTCTTTGTATAGATGCTTGATGGTCTTGTTTGCCATCTACCTTCTTTTTTTCCCCTTTAGTCTGGCGTTTAAAGGATTGAGAACGGTTTGAATTTCCATGGGTATTTTACGTGACCTTGCCCACACCCCGTTCTGATGCAGAAGAAAGGTTCGATAGCATGGCCGTAGGCGTTGTTTGTACCCTTTTTTTTTGGGGATCGGATAATGCCAGATTTTCGATGACCGGATTTGCAGTTCCGCGTTGAAATGCCTCATTCATGAGCATATCTTAGTATACAGATCGAGATTGATTCGCCGCCAGCCCGTGAAGGAACAGTAACAGGTCCGCCAAGAACAAGAAATGAAAGCACCAAACTCCATAATGTCGCCTAGACCCTGAATGGGCATACTCGAATGACATGACAAAAATAACAAGAAACAAGAAAAAAATGCAAAGCCCCCCTAAACAAACAGACAAAGGACGAAGAAGTAAAGAAAGAAAATGGGGGGAGTATGAGAATGTTGTTATAGCATGAGCAGCAGCACCAGCAGCACGATAAGCGCAAAGATGAGAAGCCCGATGCAGTAACTACTCAGAGTATCCTCATTCTTGCGCACGATGTGGTTGAGCCTCTCGACGCCCGTCTGCAGCCTGCCTCCGACCCTGTCGGCCGCCTGGTCCACGACCTCGAGCATCTCCCTCTGCTCCTCGAGCTCGCGGCCCATATCGTCAGCCTGACGGCGCAGGTTGCCGACCGTGGTCGACACACCGTCGAGCTGGGCGTCCTGCTCACGCATGATCTGCTGCTGCTGCTGCTGCTCGAACTCGCCGTAGGGGTCATAGTCGTCCTGAACGGCAAACGAGTTGGGATCCGGCAGGTCATTTCCTCCGCCTGCACCGCCTGCGGCCTTGCCGCCGCCGCCGCTTGCTCCTCCTCCCTGTTTCCGGAGCTCGTCGCGCATGTCCTCCGTCTCCCCGCCGATCTCATCCACGAGACGTTTCCTCCGTGCCACCTCATCCTGCGACAGGCCAAACTGCGACGGATTCGACTCGACGGCCTCCACCGACGCTTTCAGGTCGTCTAGGTCATCTGACAGCGACGAGAGGGCTGATTCGAGGTCCGATCGCGCCGAGGACAGTTCAGGCGACGTGTCGGATGCGGCGAGAGATCGGATACGTAGGAAGGATGTGAATATCGAGCGTGTCGATGCGATCTGGTCGAGGACGTCTCTGCGTTGAATGAATTAGGGGGAGGGGGGATCGTGGGAGAGAGAGTGGCTCGGTAAGGAAGACTTACCGTTGCACTTCGAGGAAGGGATCCTCGTCGTTGGTTGACGACATCATGCCAGTCTTCTGTCCTCCGAGTCACGAAGGACAAGTATTACCCCGTGTTTTGCGCGCGCGCTCTCTGCAAAGGGAAGACGTTGTTTGTCGACGTTTTGGATGGATGGATATGGGAGGATGACGAATTCGTATGTGGTGGGTTGCCAGAGCCCCAGAAGTGAGTGAGTGTGGTAGGGGAGCTTACAGCATGACGTTGTAGCTCTGCTGCACCATCAAGCGCAGATTGCCTACCCGGGAGAGAACTCATCGAGGAGTGCCTCACTTCAACGTCCGTCTTTGCACCGTGTTTTGGAGGTCTAGGTACGATACTGTCTGGATGTGACCTTGAAAGCTCGAGGGCTGGTGTTCGTCATCAAATTTGATAAATTACAACGAATGAAAACTGTGTGTCTGGCCATTTATCTTGTATCACCAAATGACCATCTTCATGTATGGTCTTGACTAACCACCATCTCAAGCACTAACTCACCCACTAAGCCCCTTCCCCCCCCCCCCCCCCCCCTCATTAGATTTTACTTGTGCCGGTGAAAGTTTTCACTTACACGATCGCCATTCGCATCTCACAGTAAACCTGTCAACAAGCCTGCTCAAGGAGTCGAGTACGCCGGGCACGATATCGCACTCGGAAATGCAAATGTTCTGGCCACTGGCCCCTCCCCCTCAGTGACCTAAAAGGTGTGAAAAAGGCCTTTTTTGTGTGAAAAAAGGCCTGAGCGTGCGATCGGATGGATCACGCAGGATATGTACTCTGCTAACACATTCAAGACGAACGAAAAATGGCCCCAGAGAAGCCCTTGCCATTCAGTGACGAGTTCTCGTCGGTAGACGACTACGTGGCAGAACTCCTTGACTTTGTAGGGTCAGAGCAAGTCTTTCAGATCCTCTGCGGCGGGGTCCACATCCTCGACTTCTTCACCATCGAGTCCGGCCTGTTTCACGTGGCCCTGCCCCAGGAATGGCACGCCTTCCTCCTGTCGTGTCCCACGCCCCGATTCCTGGATATACTGGTACGGGACGACCTGAGCAGCTTGGTGTACGACGACGGGGACGTGCCACCCCCGGAGTCTTTGCTCAACTACATCAGGACGGTGCGTCGACTATCCCTGAGCAGAAGGTTCGACGGCCCTCCAGGTGGCAAGAAGCTGCCGAAGCTGCCGCGGACCGTGTCGGTGGGGATGCGGCCCAAGAAGATCCACGAGGTGACCAACTTTGCCGAGTTCGTGGACCGGCTGGCTCGGGAGGTTGATGCGCGAAACGCCGACAGAGGTGCCGGAACGGACGATAGGAGCGACGGAAAGATCACGCACCTGGTCGACTTCGGCAGCGGACAGAACTATCTTGGCAGGGCGCTGGCCAGCGAGCCGTACAACCGACACGTGGTCGCCGTCGAGGGACGGGAGCACAACGTTTCGGCGGCCAAGAGTTTCGACGTCAGTTCGGGGCTGGCCGTGGCCGACACGGTCAGGCGCAACAAGAAGCTGTGGAATAAAGTGCGCGAGGTGGCGGGGAGGGAGGGGCTCAAGGACCCGGAGATCCGGGCGCGCGCCATCAAGGAGATCGTCGGGGAGGACCCGGCCGCACGCGAGGCCATCGACTTCCGCCCCAAGGACCAGCTCTCGACCACGTACGAGGCCGAGGAGGGCAAGGGCTACGTGGACTACATCTCCGGCCGCCTGGAGAGCGGGGACCTGTCGGCCGTGATCTCGAGCGTGGACCGGGCCCACCACAACCTGTCGGACGCAGAGACGCGCGGGCGCAAGCTGCGCCTGATGGCCGTGTCGATCCACTCGTGCGGCAACCTGTCGCACTACGCCATCCGGTCGCTTCTGCTCAACGACGACATGCGCGCCGTCGCCATCGTGGGCTGCTGCTACAACCTCCTGACCGAGCGCCTCGGCCCCCCGACGTACAAGCACCCGTATCTGCGCCCGACGCTGCAGGCCATCAACGGGAAGCCGACGCCGGAGGCGGACCGCCGCGACCCGCAGGGGTTCCCGATGAGCGAGCGCTTCGCCACGCACAACGGCGGCGACGGGATCCGGCTCAACATCACGGCCCGCATGATGGCCTGCCAGGCCCTGCAGAACTGGTCGGGCCAGGAGAGCGAGTCCTTCTTCACGCGGCACTTCTTCCGCGCCGTGGCGCAGAAGATGTTCCTGGACCGAGGCGTGGTGACCAAGGTGAGGCACCGCCAGCCGCGTCCCGGCGAGGACGACGGCCCCGAGACCCCCTTCGACGTGAGCACCAACCCCGTCATCATCGGATCGCTCCCGAACTCGTGCTACGACTCCCTAAAGACGTACGTCCGCGGCGCCGTCGCGAAGATCACCGGCAACACCGAGTTCGCCGACTACGCCGACCTCATGCGCGAGAGAATGGGGTCCATCACCGACCAGGAGATTGAGGAGTACGAGGCCCTGTACAACCCGCGCCGCAAGGAGCTGTCCGTCGTGTGGAGCCTCATGGCATTCAGCGCAATCGTCGTCGAGTCGCTCATCGTCACGGATCGCTGGACCTTTCTCACAGAGCAGGATGTGGTGGAGCGGGCGTGGGTCGAGCCCGTGTTTGATTTTAAGCAGAGTCCGCGGAACTTGGTGGTTGTTGGTATAAAAAAGTGATGTCTTACGTTCCTCTCCAATTTTTTTCATCTTTGCTATAGAGAAGGATACCATATAACAATGGAACCGAAAGAAAGCAGGGGAAGAATTGGATTGTAATCAATGCAGTCTCATCTAGAGTGAATCGGATCCTGATGTATGCAATCTGTACATGAAGGTAGGTCCGTCCTGGATCCCCGCACGTGACACGACGCAACGTGAGACCAAAACCTACGCCTCGTCATAAGCCTGGCTCCCCAGTGACAAGAGTCAGCTTCGATTGCGGCAACTGCAACCCCATCAACCTCCTACCATACCCTCGACGTCCACCCGACTCGACTCAGCTCGATTCTCCGACAGCTCCGATAAGAAGTACCCGATCAACAGAACAGGACAGAGCGCTCAAAATGAATGGAGAGGATCGTCTCTGGAAGTTCAGCCGACCCGAGTGGCTGAACAGCGCCTGGGCGCGCAATGCGGGCGTCTACGGCGCCGGAGCGCTGGTATGCTGCCCTTCTACCCTCCCTCCCCCTCTTCTACCCCCCTCTCTGTACAGGAATCCTATCCTGTGCATGTTCCCCATCCTTGAGCATATCTGACCCCCAATCCTCTTCCCACGCAGTTCTCTATCGCCTTTTACGTGATGCTCGACTCGGCAGTGTGGTCCAGGTCGGCCAGGAACGGATCCGACGTGCACGTAAAGTTTGTCGATTGGCTGCCGCTCATCTTCTCGAGCCTGGGCATGCTCATCATCAACTCGGTCGAGAAGCAGCGGCTCAGCACCGACTCGTGGAGCTACAGCGGCTCCGGGGTGGCCTGGAAAGCCCGGGTCGTGCTGTTCCTCGGCTTCGCCATGCTCGCGGGCGGCATGGCCGGAGGCGTGACGGTCTTTGTGCTCAAGTTTGTCGCGACGAATGTGAGCATGCCGGCTCTTGGGATGGGTATCGAGAATGTCGTTAGCAATGGCTTGGTTGGGATGAGGCAAGTTCTTCCTCTCCCACGATTACTACTGTTTATCTTAAAAGACGACAACCCCCGCCGCCGCGCTGATTGCTGACCTGTCTTTCTAGCACCGTCGTTCTCTGGATAAGCCAGAACATGGAGGACGAGTACTCTTACAACCTGTCTCTCTAATGAGCAAGCCGCGGGAGGGATGGACAGCTACATCTCGAGGGACGAGGAATGACCGGGAAGAGAAGAGCCTGCTATCGGCAATCTTTGCGCCGGCACCAGAGAGGTTTAGATTATGTGTACTTGTCACTTTGTTAGTGGGACATGTGTGTGGATTTAGTAGTAGCATTTGTTCTTCTATTCTTCTATGGCGTTGACTTGTTGTATATCTTAGCTGTCAAACCCTTGTACGTCGACATGGGGCGAATCGTATTCACTATTATTTCACATCGTCATCTTTGCGAATTCCCTCCATGATCCTGTGTGGGCTCTTAGTATTCTCGGAATTCATAGTTTATGATTGATTATTCTTCCTCTCCGACGTTGTTTTTGGCGCCACCTTTGTACTCGTAACTTGCATATATAGAACGACCACCCAAACCCCGCCAATCTTGACAATAACAGAACAATAACATTGATCAATCCCCGCCAAAAACAAAAACAAAAAACAAAAAAAAACAAACACTTCCGACACAGTTGCATCATGGCTGATCGATCCCACTACCAAAATGGCTCATCTGCTCCCGTCCGTCCTAGAGGAGGCGTCAGCACTGCCAACGGCAGCAGCAGCGGAGCAGCAGCAGCAGCAGCAGAAGCAGGGCCCCCCATCCCCGCCATCCGGCGCAACCTCTTCCAGAACGGCGGCGGCGTTAGCGGGATGCACAATGGCCGGGTCACGCGGCGGCCTGTCCCGAGTCTGAGCGCCAAGTCATCCGAGAGGTTGCGGATGGAAGCCGACGCGCAGGCGGGGCCGCCGGCGGCAGTGGTAGTGTCGAGTCCCGAGCAGCCGCGCGAGATCGTCGTGCGCGATCGCCATGGTGAGATCGAGATGGGCTCTCCGGCCTCGCCAGAGATGGACGACCAGGGCGATTCGCCGCTTGATTCTCAGAAGGAGGCAGACGGTAGGTCACACGAACTGTCAACCCCATGCAAGAGAGAGAGAAAAGAAGAAGAGAGAAGAAGGAAAAAAAAAGCTAACACCGATCATAAGAGGAGAGTCATAGGCTGGTAGAGGCCATCAAGAGTCATCAAATGCACAGCGCCGGACTCCAGGACCATCCCGATGGTGAGTTGTCTGCACAAGATACGAAAATGATTTCACGTCCAAGAAAGAAGAGGAAGAAGAACAGGAGACAGCTGACTTGATTAGAACTACTCGAAGCCGTCAAGACGAGCATGAGGGGCAAAGTGGCCCGTCTCTCAGAGGACAGCTGGATGTACGAACGTGGCCCAGGGCGGGGCATATGAAGAAAAGCAAGATTTTCCCTTTTTTGATATTTTGATATTTTCTTTATATTGTCTGTCTTATCTTCCCGTCTTCCCCCCCGGGCCTCACAACCATGCCTCCTCCAAGGCAGCCCCCGACTGTGGAGTTTTTTTTAATTTTTAATTTTTTATTTATTTTGAATAGCCTCCTAGTCAAGTCCAGCAGCCGGGGGTCCATCCATGGGACGCTGACCCAACCTCCTCGGCCCCTGCTGCTGAGGCGCAGCACCACCACCGCCAAACAGCCCACTCATCATGTCCATGAGGGGATTGCTCTGCCGCGGCTTCTGGATGCCAAAGTATATCTCGCCAATCGTCTCGAGGGACTCGGCCCACTCGGCATCGTCTGCCTCGCTGATCTGCGTGGCGTACTTGGACAGCAGGCCCTTGAACATCTCGGGCGCGCCGCGCTGGACAGCGAGCAGCAGAAAGCCGAGGAAGTTGAGGAGCGGCAGGCTGGGGAAGACGGGGACCTCTGCACCGGACCCGGACACGCGCTGCGGCGACAGGGAGGCGTTGCCGGCGCTCAGGGCGCTGGTGAAGTGGCGATAGCAGGTGTTTGCGCTGCGCAGGTTGCCGACCAGGAGGTAGGGTAGGATGGCGCGGGCGGCGAACTGCGGCGCCAAGCGAGCGTCTCCCTCGGCGTACCACGTGTACTCCATCTTGGCCAGGACCTCGGCCGAGTCGCGCGTGCCGATGACCAGGTGTCGCTCTGCTTCGTAGGGCTCGTGCTCCTCCGCATATAGGCTGCCCACCACGTGGTGCAGTTCTGGGTCGCCGGCCGGGTATTCGCCAAACTTGGCGGACCACCTGCCACAACAAGCAATGTCAGCTCATATTTTCTCCTTTCCTTCTCCTCTTTGCAACACGGAGGATGTGGTAAATTTCAAGATCAGATGAGAGAAAGGAAGGACAGACCCTATCAATTCCGTGATGAACGTCTTCCGCGTGGGCTCCCCCGCATCAAATAGTCGTAGACAGGTGAGCAGCCTCCCCTTGGACGTGGCGTCCGGCTTCAGCTCGGCCTGCCTGTACACGTCTACCATCATGATGCACAGGTCTCCTCCACTGCCGCCCTGTCCGGCTTTGAGGAGTGACTGGGCCACATTGTTGAGAATGTCGATGGCAGCGGGCCAGTTCTGCGTCTTGATGTACCGAGAGGCCGCGACACGTGTCTGCTGCTGAGCCTCGTAGTAGTCCCCCTCTGTGATGGTGGCCTGGAGGCGGGTCACGATCCGTTCGACTTTGCTGGCCATGGTTGACGATTCTGTATAGTTGGAGAGAGGGGACGGAAAGAGAAGGCAAAATAGGCGAAAGCTAATGCGTTGGTTGGTGTCGGAGGCGGGACGGTTTGGTGGGAAATCGGCAAGCTGGGATAAGTTTCCAGGTGGGGTGGTCAGCCATTGAGGTGGGGCAAACATGGGCTTGGGGTCATGTCGTATGCCGTTACTAGATGGGAATAAGCCTTCCTGCTTTGTCTGTCACTTTTCTTCATTTTTAATCATGTACAAGATTTGCTCTTACACGCACTTGAATGATTTCTATTCCCATTTTCCATTTCCTTCAGAAACGGCTTTTCCCCTTGTCCTGCCTCTCTTCTCTGCCAGGAAATGGCTCCCTGTAAAATGACCTTTGTCTTCGTCTCGAGCTCTCCAGGAGCTTGCGTCATTTCAACTTTGTCACTAGCAGTCCCGCTCAGAGGACCAAGCTCCCTCGAAGAGCAGCATCATGTCAGAGGGACAGCACATAGTTGACGTAGTATTTCTTACCAGAAACATGTGTAGAAATTCCGTTTCATGTGTCGGAATGAAAAGGAAAGGTGTGATCTGGGTAGGGGTCTGATCACAGCCAAAACAATCCAACCCAGAACAGCACTCTAAGTACTATAATATTCGGCTAGCTCGATATCGATCACCAATTAGCAGCACGAATAGTATAGTGGTTAGTATGCCTGCTTCCCAAGCAGGCGACCCGGGTTCGAGTCCCGGTTCGTGCACATTCTTTTTGTTTGTTTTTCTTCTTGCTTCCCTACCGGCTCAAGTTACCATCATCCTGCCATTTTTTTTTCTTTTTTTTTCGCGAGACAGATATGCGTGTTCGTACTGAGATCGGGGAAGCTATTTGCCTTGGATATACGGAGTAGTCAGGAGCGAACCAACTTACCCCACAGACCCGTGTATCGCAGAGGAACGAAGGTGCTCATATCAAGTGATTTCTTTGATTTCTTTTGTATTAAGACGAGTACCCAACTGGTCTACCCACGCAGGCTGACTCGACCAACCTTCGAGCGATGCATGCTGCAACGTCGTGTAACCTAATAGTTATACCACCACTCGGGGCCTGAACAGGACCAGAAGAAGGAGAAAAAAATACATTCCCAATAACCCCAAAACTCAATTACCGTGTAAAAGAAAACCCTCAGTGCATCCACCCACTACCAGACGATCTCCTCCCCTTCTCATACAGCCACTTGCTGTTGAGACCGACACTGGTCCGCTTGCCACCGGAGGGGCTGGGGGATGCAGGGTCGGAGAAGAGGTTAGCCGAGGAGCCAGCTCCTAGGGTGCTGGCACCGAGGAGGCTAGAGCTGCCGAACGAGGAGCGACGGCCGTTGGCACCGCCGTTGGTCGAGACGTCGAGCCCACTGCCGCTGGCCGTCCTGTAAACAGGGCTACCGAGCGGGGAGAAGGGCGACTCAGAGCCAGAGATCTGGAGGGTGGGAGCCGGGCTCCCACGTCCAGATAAGGGGGAGGAGTTGTAGCTGGCGCGGCTGCCCACAGACCCGGCGACGGATGGGGTGCGAGAGTACCGCGGCGGGGTGCTGTAGTGGGCGTCTGGGGTGGGAGCGGCCGAGGAGGGAGGGAGGCCGAGGAGCTCGCGCTGGGCCGACGTCAGGGCGATGTCGGAGAGGTCATCTTCGCGACGCATGAGGGGCAGGCAGGCTGCGAGTATGTTGAGGACTGGGATAATCTGGATGGCTAGCCAGGTCCACTCTGTGTATGAGGATATCGAGGCGGGGAGGCTGGTGACATGGCAGAAGCGTTAGAAGAGAAAATTCAAGGATAGAAAGAAACCCCCCTGCGGGGATGAAAGGCTGAAGCCAAAGATGAGAAGGAACATACAGATTAGGAAAGTACTTGAGGCTCAGAATGGCCCGGGAGAACCATACTGCTGCCAAGCTGGCTACGCCGTAGGCAATTTGCCGGACATTCTTCTCGGAAAAGGTAGTCGCGTTTCGACGTCTCGTGATCTCATCAAGTCGCGGGTGTCGCCAGGTTCCTGGGCTGTCGGCGGAGATGGTCATGGGGGCCGTCGATCTGACGGGGGTGCGGACGGACATGACCGTTTGCGTGCGTGCGTGCGTGTGTGTGTGTGGTGATTGTCGGCGCCTTGCGTGAATGTGTTTATCTCTCTGTTTATTAGAGCAAGGCTTGAGCTAGGAGGGGGAGAGAGGAGCAAAGGAACGTGTGTCGAGGTTGAGAGAGGTCGTGAGAGATATGATTCTATGTCGTAGCGCTGTATCCTGGGGGGGTTAGTATCTGGCGGAAGGAGGGGGGGGAAGAGGGCGGCTGTAGCCGGGGAGGGAGGTCGTGATGCCGGTTCGTGTCGTTGCTGATACTGGGTTGTATTGGTGCAGCACGAGAATAGCAGAAGCACCAGAGAAGGCAGATAAGCCACACTGGAGAGATTGCGTGTGGCTTGAATGAACGAGTAATACGGAGTCTGAGACAGAAGTATATATGTGGCTGGTATGGGGGTGTGCGCCAATCTAACTTGGCAGGGGTGGAGCGCATAACTGACGCGCGCGTAAGAAGGAGAGAGGCAGAGAGAGAGAAAGAGAGGGAGAGAGAGAGAGAAGTACTCGTGGAAGTACTAACTCGCGTAGTCTCCGTAGAGAAAACGAGCTGAGTAAATCTGACCAGCAGCATCTGCCATTGTGAGAGGCTCGACCCCAGCCGTAGCCGCTCCCTCCACAAAGCAGTAATCCAACCCGTGCATCATTGTGAATTCCCTCCCCCTTAACCTTCTCACTTTATTTCTTCCACCCCCTCCCATCCTTTCCCACCACACATACTCCCACCCGATTGGGACGACTCCATCGCCATCACCATTTCGCTTCGTACAGCATCGTCATGTATCGTTAGGTTGCGATCGAGTCGCCATTTTCCATCACTCGGACCGCTAATAACTGCAATCACCATCACCACCACCGCCACTACCACTACCTACTCGTCGATCGTCACCACCTTTCACATCCATCATTCGCCATGTCTGTGCCGCCCGGCACGCCATCACAAATGGACCTCGCTCCATCGAGTCCCTCGGAGGTGCCGCCGAGCTCACCGGCCGGCGGCAAGTCCTTTGCGGCTTCTCGCGCCGACGGCGACGAAGACGAGACCATGGGCACACCAACGCCTAGCAACAACAACAACAACAACAACAACAACAGCAACAGCAACAGCAAGGGATCTGAAGCCCCGGAAAATAAGCCGGCCAACTCCCGTAAGAGCAAAGGCGGCGGCGGCGGCGGCGGCGGCGGCGGGTCAAAGGACAAGAATGCCACCCGGGAGCAGCAGATCGGCAAGATTCGCCACCTCAAGAAGGAGGATGGCGAACCGCTGTGGAGAAGGGACATTCAGTACGACTTCCTCAAGGCCATCTTTGACGACGAGCATGCCGTCTTCACCAACTCGTACGACCCGGAGGGTTTGGGCAAGCAGACGTTTGCCGACCTGTACATCGACACCATGGCCCGGAGCACAAAGACCAGCAAGGTGCTGCGCGACAAGCTGCTGAGTGATCGCGAGGCGGCCAAAGGCATGGCCATGGTCTGTCTCTTGGTCAATGTCGGCCGAATGAATACGACGCTCAACTGTGAGTGCTGTCCCAGCAACCGTCTTTCTCTCCTCCGGGAGAGAGGATGATCTACCGTATGCTAACAGACGGCGAAACCGCAGTCTTTCCCGAAATGCGAGCCCAACTCCGCACTTACCACGCCATTCCCTCTCTCCAAGCCCACCAAGATGCGCACGCGTACAAGCAACTGCAGGACGCTCCCCGTCTAAAATCCATCCTCAAGGGCGGTGCCGAGGACAGGAGCGACCCCACGTCGCTCTCGGATATCAAGGACATGGACGTGCCCCGCACTAACCCGGTCAACCTAATCTTTGTCCTGTGCAACGAGGCCGCTAAGGTAGCGGAGCTGCACTTCCCTTCGAGGCGCGAGTTCCACGACCTGATCATGAAGACCAAGTACACGAGCCAGTCTCGCGCCCGCGCCTTCCTGTGGCTGATGTGGTTCCACCTCGAGTCCGACTTCACCGAGGAAGGCTGCTGGGAGAACCCGTTCGGAGCAGGCGTCGACTACGGCCTCGGCGTGGCCAACCAGGGCATCCCCCGGCTCGAAAAGGTGGACGAGACCTCGGCGCCGGAGAATGTCGACACCCCCGAAGAGATTGAGTTCGGCAAGGAGAAGCAGAAGACACGCGCGCGCATCTTGGAGATGGACTTGGCCTACCTCAACGAGAGGGAGAACCGGAGGGGTAAGATCCGCGTGCCTAATCTGGACGACGGCCCGGCCATCCTACCCCGCATCCGGCCATCGAAGCACGAGTCCGACATGGACAGCACCCGATCCACACCCCCACCCAAGGGCGGCCGGGCAGGACACGGCGGCGCGTCGAGCCGCCGTGGTGCCCCCCTCAAGTACCAGCTCTATGAGGGGTCGTCCCCCGCGCGCCCCGCCGCCGCCGAGGTGGGCAACAGCAGCGTCGTGACGCGCAAGCCCCGCCCGCCAACGGCGCACCAGCTGGCCGTGGAGCGCAACCGCCACGAGCGCGTGGAACACATCCTCGACCGTGGACTCAGGAGGCAGCACCACAAGAGCCGCAAGCTGCGCCGGCAGGCGGGCGCCGTGTTCCGCGCGTACAAGCGCGTCCAGGCGCACGCCCAGGGCGACGACTCCGCCGTCCTCGAAGACAGCGACGACGGCGAGGATGGTAAGATGCGGCCCCGCAACCTCACCGCCTCGCTGTTCCGCGAAAGGGGCATCGGAGGCCTGTGTCTGCTGTCGGAGGAGAAGGACGATTTCGGCGAGGAAGTCAGCTCCTACGCCGCCGCCCTGAGACGGTCCACGCGTCGCCTTGAACGGTGGAACGGCCGAGAGGCGGAGCTGGGTGTCGTCCCCCCCATCAAAAAGCCTAGGGTCGTTACTGCTGCTGCAGCCGCCGCCGCCGCCGCCGCAGCCGCCGCCGCCACTGCCGATGCCGATGCCGATGCCGATGCCGATGCTGCCGACGACGAAGCCAACTACGACAAGACGATGAACGGCGGCGACGTCGACGACAGCATCATGCCTACCTCTGGCTCCCGGACTAAAGTCAACGGCGATGGGGACGTCACCATGATGGAGGACATGGATCTCGACTACGGCGATCAGACCTATGGCGATCAGACGGCCATGATGGGTGACGACGAGCGGGGGGACGACGATGGCGATGACCCGGATAGGACAGAGGTCATGGGTGATTCCGATGTCGATGCGAGTACCATGTAGTTCTTTTCCGTCTTTCCTTCATGTTACCGTCTCTCTCGTTTCCTCTCCTTTTTTCTCCAACTCTTTTCTTTCTTGTATGAATATCCGGGGACGACAGGGGGGAAAACCCCATCTAAGAAAACAGGGTTAATGATATCTTCTATTATTTTTTTTTTTTGTCTTTCTCTTATTCATCTTCATCTTCGTGTTTTTTCTACTGACTGGGAACTGTATCAGCTATTAATTGAAGAGCAAAGGGATGGCGCAGGGAGGAAAATACATGTAACTGCTATCACTGTAGTTAGATGGTCATATGAGAAGATTGTACGGGTACGGTGTGAATAGGATGAGAGAGTGCAATTGCTACTCTGCAATACCACTCGTATATGTACGGAACAGTAGTATACTACTGTATTCGTACTCGTATTCCATAGACAAGACGAGAATTGTAGACAGGGCGAATAGCAGCAGGAGATCATGACCATGATTTTGAGACGAGAAGCTCGGAGACCCGAGCGGTGTGTGGGGGCAATTTATTAATCTCAATCGTAGAAAAATAGGGGTCCGGGTCTAACGCGTCCAAACCCCCCCCCCAAGAAAAAAAACAAACTGCGCGTCTTGTTTAATACTGATACTTGCACAATTTATTATCCAGTTCCCTTTCATCACACTTTTTTTAAACTTTTTTTTTTTTTAATAAAATTTCCGCTCTCTCTCTCTTCTTGACTTGCTCCTTTATCTTACATTCTGTTGGATAGATTAAGACAGACAGACAGACAGACAGAGAGACAGACAGAGGGAGAGAGAGAGAGAGAAAGAGAGATTCCGACGACAATGCCTACCACCAACAACACCACCCCAGGCATAGGCCGCCTCCTGAGCATCCTGGCCATCCTGACGGCCCTCCTCTCGTCGGTAGTCTACCTGGCCGAGCAGAACCTGGAGCGCTTCTACATCTTCGACAAGGATCACCTGCACGACCTGGCCAAGCGCGGCATCGCCGAGCACGGAAACAACACGCGCGGCGTGGTCGACTACATCGTCACCGAGCTGAGCGAGAGGTCCCCAGCCCACGTCAACCTCGAAGAGGATTGGGTCTTTAACAATGCCGGTGGTGCCATGGGTGCCATGTACATTATTCACGCCAGTAAGTTTCTTTTTCTGTTTTTTCTTCTCTTCTCCCTCCCCCTTCTCCCCCTTTCTCTCTTGATCTTTTTCTCTACCCATTGCACACTATAAAAAAGAGATGGAGATAGAGAGAGAGAGAGAGAGAGAGAGAGAAAATGAGAGTTGATAGCATTTTTTTCAATTTTTTTCTTTTCAAAAAAAAAAAGAAAAAGAAAACTAATCCAAGCAACAAAGGCGTGACTGAGTACCTCATCGTCTTTGGAACAGCCATCGGGACGGAGGGTCACACCGGCCGCCACACGGCAGACGACTACTTCCACATCCTGTCGGGCGTGCAGACGGCCTACGTACCGGGAGAGTACGAGCCAGAGGTCTACCCGGCCGGGAGCGTGCACCACCTCCGACGCGGCGAGGCCAAGCAGTACCGCATGCCCGAGGGCTGCTTCGCCCTCGAGTACGCCCGCGGTTGGATCCCCCCCATGCTCTTCTTCGGCTTCGCCGACGGCCTGTCCAGCACCCTCGACTTCCCCACCCTGTGGAAGACGACCTACATTACCGGTCGAGAGATGATTTCCAACCTGCTCAAGGGCAAGTTCTAAACCGTCCTCCAACACAAACACACATAATATCAGGGGGGGGTATACATATGTACACCAAGGAAACCCCCACCCCAAGGAGGGGATGTATCACCACACACACCATATATATTAATAAAAATTTTTCCTTCTTCTATACAATGCGGTAACCTCTCACAGAGGTATGGGGTGTTGAATGGCATGGCTTCGGATTCTTTACGTTGAAAGCATTCTGACCAAGAGAGGGGGGGGGGAAACAAGACCTTGATCTACGCGTTTCCCAAGTAAAATGTGCAGTCTATATGCGGGGTGGAAGTCCTACCAGTCTACATGTAAAAAGAAACAAGAAGGAAAAAAGGGAGAGGGGGTGGGAGGAGCAAAAAGAGGAGAAGTACCCTTTGCCTTGATCAAGTCTTGTCGTCGTCGCTCTCGTCATCAGGCAACTCCTGTATCCTTCCCTCCCGGGCAGCTCGGGTGACGGGGTTCTCCACGTCCACCACACCCGTCGCTCTGAGTCTACAGCACACAGGACCGTTAGTATCGTGCAGGGAAAGCAGACAATGAGCAAGGGACACTCATGCGGGGGGACGATGTACCTCTCAAACAGGACGAATAGCCGTTCGGCCTCGCGCTCCTTCTCCTCGTCCGTCATCTCAGGCAGATCGGGACCCTTGGCCTCGAAATCTATCCTCTGGCCCGTGATGGGGTTGATGGCGGCACCACCGGCCTCGGCGCTCGCCGTGGCGCTCTGCGAGATGTCGATCCCCTTGGTGGACAGGTAGCCGGCCGCGTTTCCGAAGCCGACGTTGTGGACGAACCTGGAGGGGTCCCTGTCCGACAGCTCAAAGAACAGGGACATGACGAGCTCTCGGACCTCGGGCGACATGGACGAGCTGGCCAGGCCCAGGATCTTGTGGGGAAGCGTGGCCCCCTTTCCCAGGGCCTCCTTGCGGTCCTCGTCGCCGGGCACCAGGCTTGTCTGGAGGCGCGTCTTGGCCTGGCTGCCCCCCGCCGACTGCGACAGGTTGAGAAGCCCCAGCAGCAGCGGCTGGAGCTCGTGCTCGTCGGCCATGGTGCCGTAGGCGGCCAGCGAGGCTCCCAGGATCTCGGTCAGCTTGTCCACTGCTGCGACGGAGATGTCCGTCTTCTTCTGGAGCGGCAGGAAGGGCAGGCAGTTCACCAGGAGGGAGACGGAGGGTTGGAGAGGTGGCGAGGGGACCTTGGTCCTGGTCAGCATCTCCATCACGGGGTCCACGGAGTCGAGGAACCGGTCCGTCTGGGACTCGTAGGTGGCGCCTAGCGTCGACAGGAGCCTCAAACTTGCCGAGCATGCCGATGTGGGTTCGGCTGTGGGGAGTGAGCCCTGCTCTGCGTTGCGGGCGATGATCTAGAGAGAGCGGGGGTTTTTTTTTGGTAGGTCAGTTTCTGACCGGCACAGACACCGGAGAGGTCCGAGTACAAACGTACGCTGTTGATCGCATCGGCAAGGCCATCCTTTTCGAACGATGGCTTCAGATCCAAGCTGGTGCCGTAGCAGGCAAAGATGAGAATGTTGGCAAGGGCCAGCTCGTCGTCGGGGTCGGCGCGCTACGTCTCCGTCAGCCACCTCAACCGGGTACCGTCGACTGCTGTCGGGACCTACTTTGAAGGCAGCCACAATCCTGTCGGCCCCGACTTCGGTGGCAACCATTGGCCTAGACTCGGCTGAGCGGACGAGGACATTGTTGAGGCACCTCAGGGCCGGCAAGTGTTCCGGGCCCGGCTTGTCACTGAAACCGTGGAGGCCTAGGATGCGCACGCCTCTCTTGGAGAAGAGCGGCTCCAGGACGGCTGACTCCAGAACGCGCGTTGAAGCGTGAAGCTTCGTGAAGAGGGTCTCGAGCTCTAGCAGCGTGTGAGCCTTCCAGTGGGAACGAAGGGGGGTATGTGGACTCGTATATGTAGTATGCTGGATGATGTATATCCGTATATCGATCTACACGTACCGGGGCGAGCCGACTCACCTGAGCTAGCTGACGTAGCTTCGACCCGATCTAGCATGCGCGAAACATCGTCCTTGGTTTCTGTTTTCGTTTGCGTCTAAGTGTCAGAGGAAGAGAAGGTTGAGAGGGTACGGAGGAAGGATGTCAAGTTGTCGGGGGATTCCAATGATCCAAAATAACTGACCAGGATCAGGAGTGGCCATGGCGGACGGCCGATAGGCGTTGCGACTCTCAAGGCTGGTTGGGCAACTATGCTGGGTACGGAATATATGTCGTAATGGTACAGGCGAGCTTATGCAGAGTCGCTATGCAGAAAAGAAAAGGAAGGGGAAAAAAACAAGGTTAAAGGACAGGCTACAGAATGAAAGCGGGATTCCCGGAATAAGGGGACCTCTTCTCTCTCTCCTCGCTCTTGCTTGACGTATCATGCGCAGGACACGGGGCCGATGTGATGCACACCAACCTGCCGACGGGATTCGCAACGAGCGAGCGGGTGGGGGCGGGGTTGAGTTCGAGAGAGCACGTGACTGATTGGCAGAGCTGGTAGACTACTACTCGTACTCCATGGTCTCATACGTATTACAGTCATAGCACGGAGTATCATGGCTACAGGTAAACTATAAGGAAGGCATTACTGTGCCGTAAGCATTAAGGGGTAGGAACAGTCTAGCATTCGGTTCCTGCCTCATACTATCGTACGAGTACGGATCACACACACACACACACACACAAAAAAAAAAAAAAAAAAAAAAAAAAGAGAGAGAGAGAGAAGAAAAAAGATTAGTCTGACCGAGCCGGCTATTAGTAATGATTGATGGCGAATACGTCGACTGCCAATATCAACTGTTGATATATGCCTCTTAGCCATCATCGCCGGCACCTGTCATATATTACTTTTCCGCTGCGTGTCGGTCGGGAGTAAAGATGTTCTTGTCGGCCTTAACAGTAATCGAATTGGACGCTAGCGAGATCGCAAGGGTATGGTGAAGGCAGGCGCTAATAAATCAAGGCAGATAAAGTAGCCGTGGGTACGATATCGAAACGGGTGATAGCACCGCAGATATACGGGGTAAGTTAATCACTCGAGGGTGGATTATAATGATTTGTAACGTATTTATTAGCAGCTCTCGTTCTCTCTCGATTAATCTCGCTAAACTCGACAACTTTCCACGGTCGAGTTCGGCTTACCTAATCCGCGTACGGGGAGAAGTAGAGTAGAGGGGGGAGAAGGCTTAGTCACGCCTACGCTCTCACCGGCTAACAGCCCGTAACAAAAAGGCGTTCTAGACCTCTGAAGCCTTTAGGAAGACTGTAGAAGCCCTGGTGCTGATGTATATCCATACAAGGCGTCGCAAAATACCTCACTTTTGACGTAATGTAAAGGAAGGAAGTAAGGAAAGGACGAAGGACGGAAAACATGTGTAATTTGATTCTTGAGTATCCACTCTTACCACGACAGGGTTGCTGACGAGCGCCTTGACAAGGGCGGCGTCGCGACCTCCGTACTCTTTTCTTTCTTAGACGTATCCATACTACAGCATCGAATGCATGCATGTATCTGTACAGGCACATTCACGGTGTCGGCGCAACCCACCGAGTTCACTTACCAGTGCCGGGACTAGTCAGTCAGTGCCGACGGGCTGCTAACCGGAGTTCTGCATCGTATACGGACGGGTACTACGACTACTCGATGACGGCCAGGAGACCGCTCTAGCATGACACCGACTCAACTGACGTTCGACTTCACCATCAGCACATCCATGATGCGCTCTCTGCAGCGGAGGAGCAAAGAAGTTATTGTTCTTACACCAGAGCAAGGAGGATGAACTTTTGTATGCAGCGTGAGTAAAACAAGGGGCACCCCCCCCCCCCCCCCCCCCAAAAAAAAAAAAAGCTCATGACCCCCCGCATTCTTTTTTTTCTTCTCCTTCGTCTTGCCATTGTTTCACTAGTAGTCAAGTTTTCCTCTTTAGGAAGAGACACCAATGGAACCGCAGGCGGGAAAAAGGGGAAGAAAAACATGTGTACACTCACGATCCAATAGAATAACACCAACCCAAACGTACCAGATGTACTCGTCAGACGTTGAATTCTTTGCTCCGAGACCCCAAGTGTTGTCGTATGTATATTATATATATATATGTATGCTACCATAACACCACCTTTCCTTACGATGATGAACAAAAAGAAGATGAAAAAAAAAAAAAGATGAGAGAAAATACACATCATACTCCCGTGAAAATTATAATAACAGACAACGCACAATGCCTCTTCTTTTCTTTTCCCATTAAAACAAATAAGACGGAAAAAAAAAACTCTTTTTTTTCGTTAAAACCCACCCGTAATCGTCATCTTTTTTTGATTCAAGAAAAAAAACATGAAGTAATCCCGTGAAAGAGAGTATATGGAAACGCCGGAAGGAATAAAGGTGTATCTTCATCTTCAATCTTCGTATCGGATCGAAGCAATGGAGGACACCAGAGAGAGAGAGAGGGAGGGAAGGAGGGAGAGAACACCTGGTTTTGTGTCCCCCGAGGAGTCTCGCTTGCATCAGGTCAAGAGTTGGCATAATGCAATACATTAAAAGGGATGAGCAGATGCACGGAGATAAGAATCCCGTCAAGTGTGAGGCTGGAGTGGACATCGTTTCTCTCCCAGCAGGAGCAGAGGTAGACCTTGGAGAGGCTATGCGAGCCACTCCTCCTCGTCCCTCTTGCGAGCCCGCATAATGAGACCTTCGTCCTCGTCCTCGTCCTCGTCCTCGCGAATCTGTAGCTGCTCCACCGAGTTCGTGGTGGCTCGGACCTCCTCGGCGTACTTTTCGGCTTCGGCCTGTGCTTGTGCTCGTGCTTGCGTCTCGGTCTCGGCTTCGTACTCTTCGTCCTCGTCGTCAAACATCCACGTCAGGCCATTGGCCTCCTCCTCCAGTGGGAACATCTCGCGGGCATACTCCTCAAGTCCGCGGGGGCCCTCCCAGAGCTCTAGGGCCTGGGCGCAACCCTGCCTCTCGAGCTCGATGTCGCCGAAATAGGGGGGCTGCTTCTTGGCGTCGGGCTCGTCGGGCCGAAAAAGCTTCTGGAGGGCGTCCAGGTGGTCCTGGTAGCCGGCGGGGACGCGGACCTTGACCTCGATGGGGCCACGAACGTAGCGGACGGGGCGGCCGAGGCCGCGCCCAAAGACCTCGCAGGCCTCGCGGGGACTCAGGTACTCGTACGCGAGAGGGATGCGCTCGCGGCGCCATTTGGAGACGCCATCCTTGAATATCTGCAGGATGGCGGGGCCGACGTCGTGCTCGGCGTCGAGCCAGGGCAGCTTGGCATCTTCGTGGAAGGGGGCCTGCCAGACAAAGGAACCGTCGCTCTGGAGCTCCATGCAGAAGAGGGGGTAGTTGAGCGAGGTGAAGTTGTTGTTGTAGATGCCCGTGTAGACAAAGGTGGCGGGCAGGTCGAGGCCGCGGATGTACTCCTCGACCTCGTGCTTGTTGCACCAGAGGGGCAGCGAGGGCCAGTCAGGGTTGTATGTGGCGTGGTCGGGCATGGACGAGTAGATGAAGTGTTGGACGCCAGCCTTCTGGGCGGCGTCGGCGACGGCTTTGCCAATCTGGAGCTCGTCGCCGTAGAAGGTGGTGTTGATGAAGGCGAGCTGGGCGCCCTGGAAGAGGATGGAGATGAGGTCGTGGTTGACGCCGACGCCTGTTATGGGCCCGCTGCGTGTCACGTCCTTGTTGTCCTCGCTAGGCTCGTGCCTCGTGTAGAGCTCGCCGACGATGACGGTGACGTTGGGGTTCGTGGCCACCTCGGTGGCGACGACGCCCTCGAGATTCCTCAGCTGGGCGCGCACGTGGTAGCCGACAGCGGTGGCATTGCGGATGAGGGATGCGGCCTGGCGGCCGGCAGCGTTGATGACGGCAATGGTCTTATTGGGAGTTGACATCAGCCTCTTGGGGGGCCTGAAGGTGACTGAGTTGTTCCTCGAGGTCGAGAGGGGTGACGACTCCGAGTAGGATGAGCGCGAGTGCTTGTGGTGCTTTGCGACGCCGTTTGACCGGTTGGAGGGGTCTATGCGGATGGGAATGCTAGCCGGCACAGCAGAGCCGTTGATTTGTGCTGGCATGGCAGCAATAATGTCACCGTTTGGTTGAAGGATGCTGAGTGACATGTATTATTATTGGAAGAAGCCTCGAAGAAGGCTTTTTCTCTGGTGGCGGCGGCGGTTGTAGTAGCAGTTGTAGTAGTAGTAGTAGTAGTAGTAGTAGTAGTAGTAGTAGTAGTAGTAGTAGTAGTAGTAGTGGTAGTAGTAGTAGTAGTAGTAGTAGCAGTTGTTGTTGTTGTTGTTGTTGTTGTTGTTGTTGTTGTTGTTGTTGTTGTTGTTGTTGCTGTCGTGCTTGTCGTTCCTGTCGTTCTTGTCTCTCACCTCCCTCTGGGCGGTGTCTTGCGGTGTCTGTTCGATGGAGGGGTCTGGACTTGGGTCGCCTGCAGACAGACCGGGACCGGGGTTGGTGGGAAGGGGGTTAGGGAGGGGCGGATAGCAGTGAGAAAACAGTCTGCTCTGTTTCTGGTGTTGTATACGAGCGAGAACCCGTACAAGCGGGATCCGGGATCGATTCCTTTCCTCGTGCAGCTCGCTCGCCTTGGTTGGGGGATGCTGTCTCCTTGGGTGTTGCTCCTTGGGTGTTGCGCTTGGGTAGTTATATAGACATATATATATATATATGTGTGCGTGATTGAGTGTGCGTGTGTCGTATTACTCTGTCGTCCGTCCTTTTTTTTCCTTCACCCCCTCTTGTGAGATATGGAACACATGGGGTTGAAGAAGAGAGGGGAGAGAGACGACAGATGGCACCCTAGCACTTTTTTTCCCCTTCCCTTTTCTGGCTGGCCTTGGTGGTGGGGAGGGGAGGGTAAACAGCTGGTCTGGATGGGAAGTCAGTACGTAAAACGAATGTAGGATGGTGGACCAGCGATGACGACCCAACAAAGCCAAGCCGAGAAGAGGGAAAAAAAAAGATGGAGGTGGTGGGAGGGAAACAATGCCAAAAAGTGGAAAACAAATAATAATAGAAAATAATAAAAATAAAAAGCCGGGGCAGAACTGGACAGCAAGGGAGTGTCGGGAGTGCGGGAACAGTGGCAGATGAAGCCACAAGCAGATGGGCCGCAGAGGTTTCTGAAAGCCTCTGGTGGGAGGTCGATGGACAACGTGCTAGAGAGCAAATCGCATTGTGGTTGGACGCCTCATAGAGGGGCCGAGAAGGAAGAGAAAGAGGGCGCGAGTAACAAGGAAGGGGGGTGAGAAATCTTGTCTCGTACGAGGAGGTAGAGGCGGGACTTTGCAAGAGTGACAATCTCGGATGGGCTCTCTGAGAGGGTCACTCTGA